GTGCGGTTGGCGCAGGATAGAGCAGGGTTTAGGGCTGTTGTGCATAGGGTCGCTATGAGTCGCAAACGACTCGACGGCACAGAACAACAACAACAACAACATAGGAACTACAAAGACAATATTGATTTTTGCTCAGTATTGATATTTGCTATTATCTCTTTTTTATTGATTAATCTTACCAACTTTAGTTTTTCAAAAGAAGACTTTTCTGTTTTGCTGCTTCTTTGTACTATATATTGTTTTCTATTTTGTTTCTTCTACTTTTTATTACTTTTATTTTTCTATAAGTTTAATGTGTTAGCCTTTTTTTTTCGCTATAGTCTTGAGATGTATAGTGATTTCTCTACTCTATTTTTCTGCACAGGCATTTATAGATTTTCCACCCCCATGCATTTCAAAAGTTCTAATACATTAAAAAAATACTCAAACTCACTGCCATGGAGTCAGAACTGACTGATAATGGACTCTCAGTGGGTTTTCTAGAGGCTGTAAATTGCATAACAAATTAGTCAATATGTGGGTCACAAAAAAAAATATAGACAACATTAAGAGGAAGGAGAATCCCAGAATCCTTAATTGTGCTCATATGAAACTTATACATACATAGATAGAGCATATTCAACTGTGCTCAGGTGAAACCAATACATAGACCACGAAGCAGTTGTCCAAACAGGATAAGGAAACACTACATGGTTTAAAATTAGGAAAGGTGTGCTTCAGGGTTGTATCCTTTCTCCATACTTATTTAATCAGTATGTTCAGCAAATCAATCCAGAAGCTGGACTTTATGAAGAAGAATATGGCATTAGGAATGGAGGAAGACTCAGAAACAACCTGCATTATGCATATGACACAACCTTGTTGATAGAAAGCAAAGAAGACTGGAAGCATTTACTGCAGAAGATCATCAAAGACTAGGCCCATCAATATGAGTTATTTCTCAATTCAACAAACAACCAACCTGAAATTTTCACTACTGGACCAATAGGCAACATCATGATGGATGGAGAAAAGAATAAAGTTATCAACAATTTAATTTTATGCAGATCCACAACCAACACCGATGGTAGCTGAAATCAAGAAATGAAGACATGTTGCATTGGGAACACCTGCTGTCAAGAACTTTTCCAAAGTATTACAGAGCATGAACGTCAGTTTAAAGACTAAAGTGCACCTGATCCAAGCCATGGTATTTTCAATTACTTCTTATGCATCTGAAAGTTGTACAATGAATCAGAAAGACCAAAGAACTGATCCCACAATCCAGAGGGATTGATTCCAGTGGTATTAGTGAAGAGTACTGAATAAAGAGACTGTCAAAAGAATAAACAAGTTTGTCTTGGAGGAAGTGCAACCAGAATGCTCCCTAGAGGCAAGGATGGTGAAACGTCATCTCATATACTTTGGGTGTATTGCTAGGAGGGGCCAGTCCTTAGAAAAAGACATCATGCTGGGAAAGTTGGAGAGGTTCTGTCAAAAAGTAGAGGACCTTCAAAAAGATGGATAGAAACAGTGACTACCATAATGGGCTCCAGCAAGGCTAAGACGGAGCAAGGTTCAGATCTGTGTTCAGAGGGTCTTGATAAGTCATAGGTGACTCAATGGCATTTAGCAACAACAAAATACTTTTTACTTATACTCAGTTAGAATTATTTTCCAATT